TTAAATCACAGCTTACATAGTTAGTCCTATGTAATAATTTAACTCTTAATTATACTTGGAAAACAAAGAATAAATAAATAAAGATATCCGATTTCTTTTTTAGGTGCCTTAGCTACCGAATGCGAACAGAAAGAATTGTGGCAATATGCAGGTTTGTGCTGGTTGGCAGCCGCTAGATGCCAGGGCACATTGGAAAATGCCTCCTCGGAAATAAATCTTCTGGTGAAGGCTGGAAGGCAATTCCTTATAGCTGAGAAAAAAGATAACGACATAGGATGTCCCTCTATAGGCCAAGAGAACATACAGGTCTCTGGGTGCAATATGAATTTGTAATAAAAAGGAAGTAAAAGGAAAGGACTAAATATAGCTCCCGTTGCAGGCGGCTGTGAGTTGCTTTGGCCATTCTATGGCTAGATGCAGCAATCAACCAGGATTCAACACAATTTCTGCTGGTTTATCAGTAGAGTTGGCGTTAGCGCTAGGACCAGGTCCCGCCGGTATTCAACAGTTGCGCAAAGCAATCGATATCTTTCCTACGTCAAAAGCTATCAATACCTTAGTGTCTTTCCATATAAGACAGGGTCAGTACTTGATCCGTTCTCATCTGTGTACTCATGATTAATTTATATTTTTACAATTATCCTTTTCAATCAATTTGGAATATGCAGTGTTTCAGATAATTTTATCCTTACAGGAGATTACGTCGCTGCGTTACAAATACTCAATGAATTTGTAGAATTTGTAGAAGCTTGTGTTGTGGCTGGTGCTAGAGGAAACTATAATGCTATCTTACATAGGTATTACCTTATCACAAAGATATAATAATTAGCTGTACGAGACAAATTAATACTCCGAAAAATTAATAGCGAAAACAATCGGTTGTTAGCTTGTAAATAAAAAATTCGCTTCGTTCTGTGATTGGCTCCGTGATTATAATCATTTGTAAAATTCATTGCTATATTAAATTGCAGTTAATACATAATACCTTTCTCTACAACAATACATTTAATATAATAAAAATATATATATCATGAAATTTATAATTAGGTGCGAAGTGACGCGAGTACTTCTACTGCTCATTCTTCAGCCATCACCCCAGAGATTGACCCCATCTCTCGCCCAAGTCCTCGAAAAGTACGCGTGGGCGGAAGAAAATGTGAACAACGGTATAAATCAAGTTTTCAATTGTACAGAGATAATTCTGGTTCTTCCGTAACAAATATATTCCAAGTTATTGAAACGAGTGCCTCTCTTTCTTGCAGGTCTCAATATGAGCGAGGACGAATTATTATTACTGCAATCCCTAGTATTAGCGTGTCAATCTCACGATCATCAAGCGGTGTTGGAGCTCGAAAACGAACTATATCCGTACTTTGATACAGAGCAGAAGGAACTGTTGCATAAATTGATACAAGTAGTATCGACGCAGTAAATATACAATAATGCCGTGTGTAATGAGCTAGGCGTATGATATTTTTCTCCCGATTGTTTCCCCCGCCGTAGGACACTCCTCGCGATTTCACGTCGCGCCGTGAAATCGGTCCATCGAAATCGAAAATCGGGGCACATTCCTCGACGGACGAGTGAGGGATGCCCCTCGGCATGGTGGTGTTTTTTTTTCGTTTCGCGCGATTACGTTATTAGTCGCCTCGAAACAGGTTCCTGCGGCCAAAGGCTGAGCTGTTGCTCAATCGAGGCGCCGAGGATGAGCTCCCTGCTTTTACTAATCCAGTAACGGTCGTGTTGCAAGCGGCGAATTCACGTGAGACGATGGCAAACTCGTCACGCTTCTCGATGTGAAAGGAGGAGGAGGAACTCTTTAGACGAGAATCGTAGAACGGACGGCTGGAGTGGAGCAAGACAAGGCTGGCAGGAAGGGCATAGTGTGCGTGCCGGTATAGCATCGCGGAGGAGGGGATGTCTCGCGCGTCCCACGATATACTGAAGTCCTTCGCTTCTCTACGGCTACTATTCAAGGCAGAGTCGCAGTCGGTGTCAGTTATCGTGCGAAAGTGCCTCAGAATCCTTCGGATCAAAGTCGTTCGCGTTCCTCACTGAATTCTTACTTAATCCTGGACCGAGGTAACGATCTCTTCGTTCCGTTACACGATATTCTTAAGTCTTCTAATCTTGCAACAAAAGCGAATTGCGTATATCGCAATTAAAAATCCGCTGGAGCAATGCGTCAGCTTCATTATACAGACTAGAATGACAGGAAGCCTCTTCGAGCGCGAACAATCTCTCGTGATCTAATGAGAAAAATCGGTTCCAAGGATGCCGATTGATTTCTCTAAAGGTCAAGGTTCGTAGAGACTCTCGTATTCGAGTCGTTGCCGTTGCAAGAACACATTCCAAATGAAACGGTGATTAATCAGTACATGCGTAGATTAAGGTAGTCTTGGTTTATTTACGATAGATTTCCGTTGACAAACTTCAGTTAAATTTCTTTAAATAGTGGATATTACAATATATAAAGAAAATGGTTTTTTACACAGATACAAATCTAGAATTTTTTTTTAATGCACTTGAATATACACTGCTAAAGATCAAATAAGCGTCTGGTGACCGTGTAATTTCGAATACCGTTAAGTATGACTTCACGCGAGTTAGGTCGTAAATTTAATGAATTGGAAAAATTCCTGAACACACAGACACATTACGATTATGCTCGAAAATATGATTTTATATACTCGCGATTATTATATTGTTTGAATTCTAGAATCATATAATTTTCGAGATATTTAAAGTTTAAATATTTAAATTCTCAATTTTTAAATTAAATCTTAATTTCAGATTAATTTATATAAATTGTTATGTATATATAATTTGTTTTTCTTTTTCCATATACTCGCCGCGTATAATGCGTTCTTCCTTTTTAACTTCGAGGTGCTAACACTTCGCGTCCCCGCTACGTTAATTTACCACGTGTTTCGGCGACCTTGAACTCTCTTTGCTCACTTGAACGAAGGTGAATGCCCTAGGCACCTGCACTCTTCGGTTTGCGAGTGTGCGTCCCCGCGTCGATAAAATTCTGACCCGTGTGCATCTAGAACTTGAATCGAGAGTTTATTTACTCCAGAGATTCGTTCCTCGTTGAGGAGATTGATATATTAAAAATACTAATAAATAGAATTCGTACTAATAATAAACAGATACTGCGATATGATTATCAGTTGTATTATCGTTTCTATAATGAAGAGATTTTTCTATTATAAGGAAATTTCATAAACAAATTTTGGTTCTTGGAAAAAAGATGCGTTGTCAATTTATATTATAGAACAGATTTTTAAAACAAATTCTTTATGATATTCTACAATAATTGTTTCAATTCAATTGAACGTATATCCGTTTTTTTCGTACGACGTACGAGGAAGAATCTCGACAAACGATCCGTAAATAAAAAAATTGAATTCTCTCGTCCAGTCGAGATGGGAGACTGGAGGACCATTTTCGTAACCGGAGGCGCCGGTTACATCGGCAGCCACTGCATCGTCGAGCTCCTGGAGTGCGGTTACGACGTGGTGGCTATAGATAACTTTGCAAACAGCGTGACAGAAACCGACGGCGAGTCCGCGGCGCTCAAAAGGGTCGAGCAAATAACGGGGAAAAAAGTCACGTTTTACAACTGCGATCTGCTCGACAGAGAGAAGCTCGAGACCGTATTTAACCAGGTATTACGTTCGCTAATGATTTCAGATTATACATTCCATTTATCATTATCATTTCATTATATATATATTATACGGCGTGTAATATTGAAAGAGTTACAAAGCAGTTTTTTCCGGACTCGTGAAAAGAGTAATTTGTCACTTTCAGCACAAAATAGATTGCGTGATACATTTCGCGGCTATTAAAGCCGTTGGCGAATCGATGCAGGTTCCGCTGCATTACTATCGAAACAACATAATAGGAGCTATTAATCTGCTTGAGGTAAGATTATATTTACAAAGCGTATACGCTTCCCCGGTCATCATTTCTACAATTCCGATGTGTCCTCTTATTTGCAGGTGATGAAAGCGGCTGGCTGCTTTCAGCTTGTATTCAGTAGCTCTTGCACGGTTTACGGCGAGCCTACAGAACTGCCTATCACGGAGGAACACGAAACCGGCAATATCACCAATGTGTATGGCCGTACGAAGTACTTTATCGAGGAGATGCTCAAGGATATATCCAGAGCTGAAAAGGTTCGTGTATATAGAAAATTTCGAATTTACGCAAAACTCTAGCTTCGTACGAATAACGATTAAAATTTTACTTGCGTAAAATAATATGGTGTTTGTACACTCGTACAAATATTACTCCATAGTACAAATATACACTCCAGATTAAGAATAAAAGGCCAAATTTTTTATTTTTCGTTTTCTCCTTCGGAAAGAAATCGTATATCACTTGCATTCTAGTTTGTACTATTTCTTCTAGTTTTTATTGAAGATTTCTTTTGTTTTAACAGAGTTGGAACATCGTATCTCTAAGATACTTTAATCCGGTTGGTGCTCATCGATCGGGATTGATCGGGGAGGATCCGACAAAACCATTCACAAACCTGATGCCGTATATCGCTCAGGTCGCTTTGAGGCACAAGCCGGAGTTGATCATATTCGGTGGTGATTATCCTACGGATGACGGCACAGGTAACAGATGAGAATATCAAATAATAAACGCTTTACATATTTTCATTACTGCTTCTATACTCACGCTTTATACCTTTCCAGGCGTCCGCGATTATATTCACGTTATGGATCTGGCTGCCGGTCACGTGGCAGCATTAAATGCTCTGCACAAACAACACCTCAGGCTAAAGATTTATAACTTGGGCACCGGCAATGGCGTGACCGTGTTGCAATTAATAAAAACATTCGAGAAAGCCTCTGGTACTACCGTGCCGTACGTTATAAAAGAGAGAAGAGAGGGCGACATTGTGTCCATGTACGCTAACACGGATTTGGCGAAAAAAGAATTGGGCTGGACAGCGAAGTACACTGTGGAGCAAATGTGTAAGTAACGTAACCCTTAAACGCGGGATCTGAACAATCTCAAACAATCGTGTCTAACGGTGAGACGTCGAATACAGGTCAGGACTTCTGGAGGTGGCAAACGATGAATCCATACGGATACCGAACTTCAATAAAGAACGGAACTACTGAACACCTGAACAATACATCGTAAAAAATTGTATCGAGGAAATTATGCAAATAATTTATAATAAAGAATCGATACGCGTTCTTATAATTTACATATTTATGAATCACAGATCTAACTCTTACATTTTTACGGTTGCTCTTTACTCTCATTCTCGCTTTTTATGTCGTCGGCGTCACTTTCATCTTTCTTACATTCATCCAGAATTTCATAGAGCGATAAATGTTGAAACTTTAAGATTTCTAGACCCCAACTCGTCCATCCAGGCAACAAGTACCTTGCAAAAATTTCTAGACACTTTGGGTCGTCCGGGAGATATTCCTTTATGATTTCTAAAGACGTGAACAAATATTTTATTGTAATTGTATATTTTACAGAATATATTTTTCGTTTTTTACTCGTACCTGTGAGAGGTGGTTTGTGAGAATGTACCGCACTAGGTATGCTGATCATCAGTCTGCCATCAGGGATATTCACTTTGTCGTTTTCCAATGCAGATCCTAGTATCAGTAATTCATAAGGTTGCTTGCCAGGCGCTGAGTTAAAATTACATATTGTATCACCTGCTTGTGTCACCTAGAGTGGCAGTTGTTATCTAACTTATTGCATTGCATTCCCAACATTATTGAGACATTGCCTACCTTGAGCCAATACCACTTAGCTCTATAAGTAATACCCCAAGATGGAAATATTTCGTTGAAGATACTATTCAAATGATTGGACGAATTGGTACACCATACGGCTACAATACCATTTGAATGTAACAGTTTTCTTATTGGTATCTTGACTAATTCCTCATTGTACATCATTTTGTAACTATAAAAGAATATACAATCATTTCTTCAAATATCTCACGCAATTAATGACATATTTAAAATAGTTAAGAATAAGTTGAATTTATAGATCAATTGTATTCTCTCTAAACTCTTTTCTCTATTAAAATATTGTCTATTTGTTAATTTATAGCAAATCGCAGTGAAATTACCTGGCCTCTGCGCACTTCATTTTCTTCCTTCTGATTGACTTGTTCCACCAAGGTGGATCCAGCAGTATGAAGTCATACTGGTTGCCCAGTTCTATCTTCTTTTCCATATCTCTTACGTCGTAGCAATAAAATGTGCATTTTCTTGGAAACACATATTTCTTATCGTGAGCCTTGGATATTATAGCATCATTAGTATCGTTGGATCCATACAGGTTCTCATCTTTGACGGAATAAGTATCTTGATAGAATTTCATGGATGCCAAACGTGCTACCTCATTGTTATCGAAGGAGTTATTCCGGCAAAAGAGATCTTTGTCTCTCGCAGCAGACATCATTGCGCCGAATGCTTGTTTAACGCGATCAACCTGTCGTGAGAATAATTTTGAGATACTACATGAAACAAAATATAAATTCTTGTTTTGGCTGATATTTTAAAATAACCTAAGGCATGAATGTTATATGTTTCTGAATCTACTTACTTCCTCCAAGTCTTTCTGCGGCAATCGCTGCGAACGCTTCCTCTTTTTTCTATTGTTAAGCATCGTGGTACTGTCCTGGGACTCCTGGACAGTCTGAGCTATCTGATTTTGCCTCAAGTATTGAGAATTGATCTCGAATATCATTTTGTTAAAGCCTAAAGCGCAAAATTCATTTTCGTTTTGAACTTTCTTGTATATCTCATTGAGATACTGCAAGTGAGATATGATCCAGCCTTCCTCGCTGACATGAAGAATACTCATATTTGGCTTTGGAGATCAATGTGACACACACATATACACATATACGATACTGTCAATACTTGTCACAGATCCTTATGATATGTTCTACATTCAATTTACTATTATATCAATCTGTCTGATGCACAATCATCAATCCAATTAGAAAATAAGCTACGTGATTATGAATATATACATATATACATGTTTAATGCTGCGAACATGAATATATACATATTTCACTTTTTATTTTCATATAAATTGCACGTGCCAGACCTGTTAGGTTGATTCGAAAAGCCTGTAATGTGCAATTTGCATGCAAATCCAATTCTTCGACATTACTGTGGTCGCTATAACAACTGATAACAACCGCCATTTGCCGGCATCGCTCGACGCTCGTGCTCCTTATCACACTTATCACACAACACAATCACACCCCCTCAGCGACCTCAGCACATTTCGCGCCTGCGCGAACTCAAATGACAAACTTCAGGGCGTGAAGATGACCCCAACTCCGATTAACTAAATTGAAGTTTGAACGGCAAACTTCAGAGTGAAGATTACCCTGAC